TTCTCCAAAACAACTTAGCTTGAGCTTATGCTGAAGAACAGAAACACGGGATTCCAGTATTTTCTCTTAATCCACTAACAGCTGGAATCAAAGAAAAACAAAAAAACCCACCACAAACAAAACACCCACAAAAATTCAGCCAGTAGTTTACATTTCAGGGACCTATGAACTCTAGGGAAGTGAAAGCATACGCATACAAAAACATACACTACGTTTAAAACCTTGCAATCTGCATCAGGATCATGCCTTCTGCAAGAACCTCGTTTGGGTTTCTGTATGTTTTTAACTCCTCACCAACTAAAAACTGAAAATAACGTATTAGACTACTGAAAAGCTCAAATTCCCAGGTTGTTTTGTGGAGCACAAAGCATCACGGTCTAACTACCAGTCACCGAAACATTCCCAGCTTAGTATTTTTAACCAGAATTATAAAGTCATTAAAATAGCAAGACCAGAGCTACCTGATTGCATTGGGGAACCCAGCTGCCCAGGGCACCCAGAACAACAGCTTCCAGCCCCTGTCGATTTGAAGATAGCGCTTCTTACAGCTCTTGTCCGTCCCTGCCCCGCAATTAGCTGTGGGGTTTTTTTGTCACTGTATCAAGCTTTAACATAACAAGCCCCCAAATCTAGGAACTGTTTAAGTCCTGACACTGGATGTGGCTTCACAAATGTTGCTTCCACCTCTTCTTTGGCTCTTTCTTGCCCTTGAGGTAATTTTTGGTGACATTGCCATGAGATCTACTTCTAACCTTCCTCCCCCTTGAAAACGTACATAGAAATACAAACGGCAGGCATGCAATCTGTGCGGAGACACGGCACAGAAACTTGCACCTTGCACTCTTTTTCTATGTAAATAATGCAAGGATCCTGCGGGAACATGCCAGGGATTGGAATTTTTAATTAATGGGTCTCTTTAATGTGCAAATCAGGAGCAGATTGCAAATTCTGACTTGCATTGATTATGAAAAACATTAATTGAACGTCCAAGACCCCAAACAGAGGCAACATCTCAAGCCCTGGACTAGACTGGAAGATAGGGTGCAAGAGAATACAAATGTATCTTGCAGAAACAGACCGCTCCAGGCAGCGGCACCGCGGCAGCGTAAGCTGTGGGAGTTCACGTGTGCAGTGCATTAAACATTAAACATCTGCACTGCATTCAGAGCGCGGCCACTACGATTTCAGCATTAAAAACCACTCAGACTTTCTCCATGGATGCAAAACAGGAATAAACATGAGCTCCGTGACCACAGTTTGGTCTCCAATTTGTATGTAAAAAGGGTGACAGAAAAAAAAAACAACTGTGATATAATTAAAGATTTAAAAAAAGGGCAAGAGAAAGTAAGACAGTGCAAACAAAGCAATGCTGTCTCTTTAAACAGAAATTCATCCTATATAAATTATGGCCATAAACTTTTCCTGCAGTGCAGTCTAATTAATTCTTGTTCTATACACAAAGGGAAATGCTGGGTGACAAATGGGTGTGAAGCCTGAAAGCTGCCAGGTCTGCAAAACATTTTCTACTTCAATTTATAAGCAATTTTGTAGTAAATCATCCACCAGAACCTGAGATCTCAGGAATCCAAGACTGTCCAAGGTACGTTGTATCATTTAAAAAAAAAATCATAAAAGATTACAAAAATAATAAATTAAACACTTGAAGTTTTGTAACCCCCAATCGCAAAATCTGGAAAACAAGCACAACCTTACCATTCTCACTCGGATTTGGCTTTGGAACTCTAAATGTACACACCATTGCTCTCCGCTCTTTAACACAATTCTACTCAAACGCTTAGGGGATTTTACTACCACCACAGCCTGCACAGAGGGCTGTCACAAGTGGGAGATACCAAAGAGGAAAATATATGAAGGACCATTTTCCATTTAAAAAAATGTATCCTTTCTGCGAGCACAGAGCAGAAATCTCATAGGCAATGGAAGGACTGGGATAAGTTACTGGCAGCATTCTGGGGCAGCTTCCAAAGAGGTGCCAGAGACCTGCCCAGACCTCAGTCCTCTCTGCGCCCTCCTGCCTTCAGCAGCACACAGCGTACACCAGGGCTGGATTGCTGGCACCAACCGCTTCATGCAACTTGAACTCCAAATCATTTTCCCCTGTTCAATGAAGGCGATGAAAGCATGCCAAATTTACTCTGCGGATTTGGAAAGAAGTGCTGAGGCTTCCCTGAAAGGAGAATATCATCCAGTCCAAAACAGCATCAATGTCATGATTATCCCAAATCCTGTCCAAGACTGAAGTGCATCATCTGGAACCACCTCAACATACAGCATTTACAAAGTCCTGCCTTCCACTCATCTGTAACCTTGCTCATGCACGGTTCTCATTTTTCCTGTCTGGGGAATGGGATCCTACCCACAAGCTGGTAATACAACTGGGACAAGAACTTGGGAGTTCAGAAATACTCACCCAGCCCACTACATCACTGTTCAGAATAAAGTGAAAAAGTTTCGTTTTACAGAAGCCACTAAGCCAGTTGATCAGCTAAAAAGCAGGACTTTTACTGCAAGCTGATTTATAAGAAGTGAGATTTTTTTTTCACCCTCATAAATCAAGGTGCATCTATTCATGAAAGAACTTCAAATATATTATCAAACAGGATTTCGTTTCGCCTCCTGAACTGACAGGTCTCAGCCTTGTTATCCAGGCAGAAGCTTTGTGAATGAAGAAGCAACACAGCTCAGACTGCCCATGGGGTAAAGCTCCAGCTGCTCCTTAGACATGAATCCTTCTCCCAGCGCTCAACACAGAAAAGAGAGAAATGGGTCTTTGTCACATAACACCAACTACATCCCTAGTTTGCATAAGAACTTCATGTCTAAGTTTGTTCCTTAATTCAGGCCTGGCACTTGAACTTCTGGAAAGAACATCTTTGCAGGGCAGTGAGAGATAGCTGCACTGGACAAGAGTGGAGCTCAAAAATTACTATTTTGACCTACTTTACTGTACAATTACAGATTCTATTTTAAAAAAAGAAATTAAGCTAATATAAATTTGGAGCAATAGAGAGCCAGAAAACACTAAACCAGTAGCAGAATGTTTCTAAGTTAATTGCTCCTGGTCTGAGTGCTTACCCTGCTAACTTTGCCCAGGTCATTCTATCTTTTATTTTCTTGTCGCCTTCACAGATGAAATACCAAACATGAATGCAGGCTATCAGGAACAACAGAGTACATTACTGCAACTTCCCTGCCCATATCGTGAGAAGAGGGTGGGGAGGGAATCACCACACAGTTATTACAGTGGATTTTCCTTTCGTGTTCTGGACAACTGCAAGATTAGCCTCTTTGCTGTACTGTGTACAGTATTATACTCCATGTTCTTGGATTTATTTTGCTTATGGGAAATATCAAAATGTCAACCCGTGTTTCTGTTAAAGGTCTTTAATGATATTGCATTTTAGACCTGTAATGAAACATGGTGCTCAGTGCAGTTTGTAATGCATCTCATTAAATACATTAATAACATGTATTTCACTGAAAGGTCAGCTTAGTATCGTTGGGAGTTTGCCTTTTCTTCCTTAATCACTTCATTTAAAGCAGCTGAGCTAACTTTAAAATATAAAGTATCTCACCTGCTGTAACTCCAGATAAGCTGATTAGCTACCGTGTTCAGATCAGGTGTAAGCCATAAGATGATAGTCAAAACTTGGGCAAGACTCAGGGTCAGGTCTGATGATGGTGAAAGTTCCCAATGCAGTTTTAATTCAGTTGTGCCAGCCCAGGTCAAAATTTCTCACTGTGCAGGTGCCACTACAGCACGTACAAACCGACACATCGTCATGTGGCCAAACAGATACACAGCCACATGAACCAGATGGTGCAGGTGACATCTCTGGTGTTTAGCATGAAAGGCTACAGTGTTCCCTACCAACCAGTTCACATAACAGGACTTCTCCAGATCCTCCACAGAGTGCTCAGCACAGAGCTTAAACATTCTGGAAAGTGAACAATCTCAAGATTGGGGTAGAAGAAATAGAAGTGAAAAGGATAACCAACCTGGCAAGCTTTAAAATGCTACTGGGCTTATCTTTATTATTCAAAATCACTGGAAGAATATCTGTGAAGTCTGTTAATTTCTGATTAGTGGGACCAGAAAAAAGAATAATCTGTGTATTAACATTGTAATCTGTGGTTTTCAACAAAAAAACCCCAAACAAGTCAGGGAGAAATGGACACCTATTAATACCTACAGTAGTTTGTATTTATTCCTAAAGATAACATACCAGATGTTTAATCACCCTGTGCATTTACTTTAGGGCCAGTAAAAAAGGTGCCCAATTCTAAAAATTAAATAGACCCACAACACACTGATGTTGAATACTCTGCACTTATCAACTGGAGTGTGCAAATTTTATTTGCCATGTTGAAGAATCTACTACAAATCTCAGATCAGTATCATTAATAGTGATCCTAAGCAACACAGAGATGAAGCAGCTCAAAGCTGAAAAGACATTTGCTGTTAACAGCACAGGCCCTCTCCTTTGTGCTACACTGCTCCTGGTTAAGGCAAGTCTTTGCATTCACTGACCCAGCACAAAGTTGGTACCACAAGGTGCCTCTGGACAAAGAGGCATCCCAACTCTGCACCAAACAACAATAACCAAACCAATTATTTCCAAGATATAGCACAAAACTTAAATTTAATAAGCAAACTTCAGTTTCCACTTGAACTAGAAATAGCAGCAGGACCTGAGCTGAGGCCTTCCAACATTACCCAAGCAATGACAGGCCACCAGCGGATATCAGCTAGGTGTATACAGATGTGGGTGAGAGGAGACATCTTCTTTGTCTGGGGTGAGAAACACTTCCTGGTTTTTTTGTTTGTATGGTACCTAATTAATGACTAAAGCAATAAAAACCAACATCCAATACTAGAGCCACACACAACTCAAAGCCTACACTTTCCCATTAATAGGCAAAACACACTGACTACACTGCAGAGTCCACCCAAAGTAGAAAGATCAAAGAGTTCTTACAGCTTTCGACAGCGTTGTCAAATTCTTGTCCACCTTCCTTTCTGAAGATCGGGTAAGTATCTGGCTGCGGAAGCCGGTTGGCTGTTACAAGTGCCTTCTGCATCTTGATTCTTCCTTCCAACAGTTGATCCCACAGTGCTTCATAACGAATAGAAAATAAAGCAGTTATTCAGCAAGCCAAAGCACTTGCTCCTTGTGAAGGAGCTGTTGATTGAACAGCACAGACCCTCCTCTTTGGGCTACTTTACTCCTTGTTAGGGCAAATCTTTGTCTGCACCAACCCCACCAAAAAAAAAACAAAACATCAACACAACAGGTACCAAAAGGTGTCCCTGGACAAAGCAGTGTCCCATCCTCTGATCCTGACTGCAATTCTGTGAGCCACAAAAAAATTCCCTCCCTTTGCTTTACTGTTTAAAGGGACATTTTGCAAATGAAGGTTTGATAGTTTAGGAGGTCAGATAGGAAGAAATTCCCTTCAGTATTACATTTTGAAAAAAAAAAAGCAGCGGTATCAGCATCACTGCACAGCACTACCAGTGTAGGAAGTCCCCACCAATATTACAAGCATATTCTGCACTGGTTCAATTAAGCCAGTGGATAAATACACTTCATAACGTAAGATTTCATACCAGCAGTGACACCAGCTTGCACAGCAGACTTGGCAGAACATTTGCAAATGACTAGGGCTGCTGTAGCACGCACATGCAGTATGCTAACAGCATGTTAACATGCTGAAGCAGTTCCTAACATGGCCAGTTTCTATAGCACCAGCAAAGTGAAATCTTGTCAAAATACAAAGCAAACATGCACAAACCTAGCTGGTTCTTCACAGCTTTTCCTTTTTCTACTTCTTCAGTCTCTCGTCCTTTTGAGAATGTCATCAGCCCCCCATCACCTTCACTGTCTTTGGTCTCCTTTATATTGTCATGGTTTTCACTCTCGTATTCCTCCTCATCGCTTCCTTCTTCCATGCTGGCATCATCTTCATCTTCCCCCTCACTGCTTCCTACATCATCCATTCCCTCTGTGAATTTCTCAAAGTCTGTAATATTCTGGAAACTGAACTTGTGTGCCTTGGCACTGACAGATGGATCTGTCTCTTCGTCTTCCAAGTCATCCTCCTGGTCACTGCCAGCACTGCTGGGCTTCTCCTTTGTTTTACTTCCCAAGCTGCCATTCTCTTCTCCACCTTCACTGCCACTCTCTTCTGCATCTTCACTGCCACTGTACCATTCATCTAATGCTTCTTCAGCTAATAATTGAAAGGGAAAAAAAAAAATCTGTTTACTTACCAACAAAATGTGCCACTTTGCAGCATGCATCATCAATAGCTACAGGTTTGGGCTGGGCTCCAAACTCTGTTTTATCCATGTAAGATGTTACTCTCTGTTTTGGATAAATAATGGAAACACAAAGCCATATCCACTAAAGTATCTCAGCTCACATTTTCTGCAGCTATGACTAGTAGATCCACAGCTTAACTTTCCCATGAAACAACATGATAAGCAAACAAGGTGGTCAGAATTTGCTATATGGGTCTTTTAAGCGAGAAGCTGAATATACTTGCAGTCCTCAAGAGGTATTGGCTTAAAAACGGGAGCTGCTTCCTTTCCTCGACACAACATTCAGTCAGTAACCTGAGCCTCACCTTACACCGACTCACACCCTCTCTTTACTCTGTAGAGGTAGCCTCTTTGGGATTTCCCCTTCCCTCAGGCCAAAAAACATGGCCTGAATTCCAGGAAGGCACCTCAAGATGTCCAACTTAATTGTATTCATTTATTGCCCTGTAACAGGGACCTAAAGTTTGTCACCTCAGTTCAGATGGCGCCAGCTCAGTTACCATGCTGGCATCAAGTTTTGAGTACTTTAGTGAAATGAGGGAAGAAACGAGATTTCTTACCTGATCCTTCTTCAGACAGAGCATCTCCCCAGAGTTCTTCCTGCAAGGCTTTGCGGGATGTAGCTTTTCCACTGTACCTTTTATCAGCTTCTAAGAGAGAGGCTGAAGCTTTTTTCCGTATATTACCAACAGGCAAAATGTCATCTGCAGTTTCATCCTCAAATTTGTCAATCACTTTAGCAACTGTAGCTGTGGAGGGAAAAAAAAAAGGAGGCATGTCTAAACCTAACTGAATTTCAGACTGGAAGAACAAGCTGCAGGAAGGAGCCATGGAAAACTCCTCATGCTTTAACAAAGATGTACTGCAAAACCAAGGTGGATGGCAACACAGCCTCACATACGAGCCTGGCTTTTAGCCTTTGAGAGGGAGCAAGGCTCTTCCCTGCCTGGTGAAGGAAAGCCAGCACACTAATTTTCTGCAAAGGGAGAAAGGTTGCTGGGGAATTACAGGCAGAGAAAAAGCCTCAAAGCAGGGTTTTGTGTAGATCAGCACCAGTCCTGCCTAGAAACCACTGTGTAAAGTAATACTTAAGATGCAGCAGAAGAGATAAGACTGTTCCAAGGCTGTTTTTCAGAAAACATCCTGTGACTTCTCCATAGCCAGGTGTTCTCCCAGATTAACCTATGCAGGAGGAAGCGGGATGTACCATGAACCAACCAACTCCATCCCCCTCCCACTACTCTGGACTTCTCCAAATACAGGTCTGGTAGTGCAGGGCTCACCTGCAATGCAAAGATGGATGTTTATTAACAAATGCCAACAAAATCTTGAATGCCTTTTTTTTTTTTGGAATGAACATTGCCTATATTCACATTTTCTTCCCTGCCTCTTTATTTTAGAGAGCCCCCATGAAGCGCTAGACAAACCAAGTCTATCCAGGCCCTTCCACAGACACCTGAACTACATAAGGACCTCACGAGAAGCACAGACCTCCAGGTGGAGGACTCAGCAAAGCTGGAACGCCTTTGCACTTACAGATTAAATGAGGAAGACTGCAATTCAGATGCACTTTGGCCTCTTGTTATATATGTGAGCCACATAAACATTTCAGAATGGCTAAACAGAGAAAATAATTTCACTGTGGGGATTATCCTCTTTCCTCCCCATCATCTCCAGGACATAGGAGTGGAACAGTCCACCAAGGAGAACACATCACACCATACTCCCTTCTTATTTTCATTCATGTGCAAGACGCCTCGTATGCAAAATTACAGGGTTAGCTTTGTTCAGCCAACTGAGTGATCCAACTGGCTGAACATCGCTAAGTGCTCTTTTAATGTCTGTTTGGAAATGTTAATGCCTCACATACAGTGTTTACTTGAGGCAGGGAGGAAGCAAAAAAAAAAAATCTCTTGCTCATAATCAAAGCAACAAGATCTGGTCTAAATACAATGACTCCAGCTACAAGAGGATGGCAGGATGCTTGGCACAAGGGAATGACTGGGCAAGAGGGGCAGACTGCAGAGGCAGTGACCTGCACCACTGTACAGATCTTCTGGCATTCTCAGTCTCGGCACCACTGAAGTATGAAGTTTGAAACTAAATCACGATTACTAAAATGGGAAAACACCTCTGTTGAGTACATTAACTTCCTCAGTGGTTACTAAGGCGTTGTTTGCAAGATACTACTGCTCTCTCATACACTTGCACAGAAGAACCAGGCTCAGTGGCACAACATCCACCATGACCAGTGTCTAGTACCTCCTAAAGCCAACCGCTGTCAGTGGGTAACAGCTGACTCACTATCTCAAGAGGGGAATGGAGGGACAGCGTGACAGAGGTGGGTCCTGCCCCGTGGCTTGGCTCTGGGAAACTCTGCTCTGCAGAGGGTAAGTCAAGGAAATGGCAGGCACCAGCCTGAAAACTCAGAAGATGACACCGCTACCTGCATGTCATGGGGAAAGGGACAAATGTCTCAAAACTCACAACTAAGGCAAAAGGAGCGTGATTTAAAAGTTACATTGATAAGTAACCATCAGAAAGCGTCAAACGAGACGCGTGCAGGGCGCTGTGGCCTGCTCTGAGCATGTGGTGTGCCCGATGGGTGGCACCAAC